ACCTTTTGAAGTCTTCCTGCTTGTGCCGAGCATGTATTTGCATAAATCTTGAGCACGACATTTAGGTCTTACATTTTTGTCACAGTAGTCCGTGTTTTTGTGCAAATTCCATTTTTGGGTTCGTTGGAAGCTTGTCAAAGCAAGACCCAAAGGACACGGTGCATGGCAAGTTCAAGCACGATGTGAAGATCGGCGATAAGGAGCGCCCCAGGTTTTTGTTATGAGTGCTTGAGGGAACTGAATGATTTTCGGGTCGGAGTCACACCCACCACGTCACCTCATGACACTGAGGCTGTTGTTGACGACATCTGAATGCATGTTTCCAGCATTTGTTTTGCTCTGGGGTCCGGAGGTATGTACTACATGGTAGTGTGTCAGCTCCCCCCGTCACGTTCATGGACACGTGTTCCTGTTCCGCGGAACCGACAGGGTTTGGGAGAGAGATTGCGAGCTATACACAATGGTTCATGTTTGACTTGAATAAAAAAAGGATACCCAAATCAAAAACTTGCCAATTCGCCTTCGAGCCTCAACAGCCTGTCACAGTACTCCACCAGCATCAGTTTAGGTTCTAGATTCGAGCCAAGGGGTTCAGGGCATCTTTATTGGCTGCTGGTAGACGACATGCCAGATTCCGAGTCCGATTTTGCATGCTGATGGCCAGGATGAGCTCATTGTCAACGGCCATAAGAGCAGCTTCTGCATTTAGAAATCCGTTTTCGTTCCCTCTTCAAGCCCAAAGCTGGAACTCAGAGCTATGGGAGCCGAGGGATCTTCGAGAGCCTTGCGACTCATACTCGGATATGCATCACGAAACCTCAGTACAGACACAGAGAGAGCCGTACGTTAGATCATATGTATGTGCTAGTGATATAAGGTGATTATATCGACACATATATACATACACGGATCTGCCAGGGATGAGTTTTGTGTTTTATAGGATTTTCAGGGCAGGCGGGCCATTGGCTTTGGATGCGTCACAAAAAGGCAGGGCCGTGGCACAAGCTGCTTAGAGCCTAGTCTTCAGGCACGCGTAACACGCACACACAGCCCTGAACCGGCGTCGTCGTTGTCATCGTAGTTGGAATAGCAGTGGAGTAGTAGAAAGGGGAGTAGGAGGAGGAGTAGGAGGAGTAGGAGAGGTAGCAGCACTAGGAGTCGGAGTGGGAGCAGGAGCAGGAGCAACATCAGCAGCAGCAGGGGTAGGATGATTAGGAATAGGATTAGGAAAAGTAGTAGCGCTAGCAGTAGCAGCAGCAGTAGCAGCAGGAGTAGTAGTTGTTGTTGTTGTTGTCGTAGTACCCTCAATAACCCTGACTTTAACCAAAGTCACTCATTGATGTCGCGGATTTGAAGAAAAGAAAGTTGAGGGGGCTAAAGGGTTTGGTACTTGCAACAGTCCCCCTCATGTAGAACTCTCTAAGACCCTGTCCCAAACCATACAAAAATGCATGAGCAAATTCCAATATGTATACATACGTACATACATACATAAACACATGCAAAACCCGAGAGCTCAGGATTAAGTGCATCATGGCCAGCCGCGAGGGGCCCAAGGCGCTGCCATGGAAGGAGCTTGGAGTGTACCAGGGCGGCCAAAGCTCGGGTCGCACTTGAAGTTTAGGGTTTCGGATCTAGTTTCGTTTGGGACTTATCTTAGTGTGCAGATGTGGAACCTCAGGGATTATTTTCGGGTGTAGGTTCAAACTCTGTCAGGCTTCGTCTTAGGGTTTAGCTGTTTGGCTTTATCAGCCCAAGGTTTAGGACCTCGGGCTTCAGAAGGGCTGATGGGTTGGGCAGTAGGTGGGTATTTCGCGGGATGCTCAAAGATCAGCATGTAATTCACGAGCGCATCAGGGGCTTGGACCCTCTAACCTAAAATCTAAAAGCCCTGCACCCTCAACAGCAAGGATCCTCGGGAGAGGCTTTAGTTTAAAACAGTCCTAGGGGAAGGGACTCGGGAAGCAAGGCGCGGGGGCGGAGAACATAAACTTCTGAAGCCTGTCAGCACCTAGTCACAAGCCTTCAAGGCTGGTGACTAGGTGCTGACAGGTTTCAGAAGTTTAGGGTGGTTTAGGGCCGCAGCGTAGGGTGGACGCAGTGTTTGCCCGCCGCCCCTGTTCTCGCTGCAAGAGTGACGGACCAGCGAAATGCAGTTGTTTTTGATGTGACAACATGCTCAATCAAGAAAGTCTTGAATTTCTGTCCTGGTCCCCAGTAGACTCCTTGGTATGACTTATTTCTTGCTGAGGAGCTAACAATGAGTTAGTTAATCTAGCATAACCCCGATGAGAGGGCGTACTAAAATTGAAGCATTATAGAAGTCTAAATACAATTCCTTAGCCAGGCCCAGTTACTAGCTGGATCACCAATGCTTGTCGTTTTTTCGTTTTGGAAAAAGCAGAAGAAAAACACTACGCTCATTGTGGAAAGCATGAACCAGCAAAGAAGCACCGAGTGAGAACAACATCGCGAAGAGCACGAGCAAGAACAGCAATAAAAAGAAAGAAGGTTAGCCCAGAAAGCCAAGACCCAAAACCCTATAAAACACTAAACCCTAAAACAAAAAAGCAAAAACCGAACAATGCCAAGTATTTACCGTCGAGCTGCAAGCACCAGCAGCAGATCGAGGCAGTTCGTGATTGAGTCCACGGGCCTTTTCGTGGAGTACGAGAAGGCCCTCCGAGACAAGGGTTCAGAAACCAAGGGCTCGTGACGTGGATCCCGAAATCGTGGCTGCTGTGAAAGGAACCACCTCTGATTTCGACAAAACCCCGAGGTCGCTTTAGATCAGGAAAGCACACTAGCAGCAAGAAATGGGTTCAGAGCACATGCTCTCTCTCCCTGTACCGCAGAGGCCTTGGGCCACATTGAGGCGGGCGCAGAGAAGGTGATCATCTCCGCCCCAGGCAAGGGCAATTTGAAGACCCTAGCCTCTCGGTGAAGGCTTTGCAGATGCCTCTTTAATATAGGGGCCTAGATAAATAGTAATACTATTTTGGGGTGCCTTGTTATAGTTATAGCATAATGGGCCCCAAAACCCTATTCGAATTATGAAGGCCCCTATGATATCGGAACCCTTTGCTCTGTAAGCATTGAATGAATGAGGTCTGCGGCGTGAACCACACAGAGTACGACAAGGCCACCCATGCGTTTCTTCACTTGCTGTCGCCCAGCGGTGTCTAGGCGAATAGCAGAATACAGTAGTATCGTTCTCTTGCGTCCTATAGCTCGTGGGCAGTGCAAGGCCAACCACCATGTGGTGAGCAACGCCTCCTGCACCACGAATTGCCTTGCTCCGATCTGCCACGTGCTCCTCAAGGAGGGCGTCGGCATCGAGAAGGGTCTGATGACCACGATCCATGCCTACACTGCCACGCAGAAGACGGTGGATGGCGTGTCTGCCAAGGACTGGCGTGGAGGTCGTGCTGCCGCGTGCAACATCATTCCTTCTGCGACGGGGGCTGCGAAGGCCGTGGGTGAGGTCCTGCCCAGCACCAAGGGCAAGCTTACCGGCATGGCCTTCCGAGTGCCAACTCCGGATGTCTCAGTGGTGGATCTCACTTTCACGGCAGAGAAGGACACCTCCATCCAGGAGACCCGGGCAGCAACAGGCGGTAGGCGCAGACCCCCACTAGGTCAACTGCAGGTGCAGAAGAGGCAGTTAAAAGAGTTCTTGTTGCAATCTTGACGATGCAGGAGATCGATTCACTGTTGAAGGCAGCCTCTGGTAGCTACATGAAGGGTGTTCTCTCCTACACCGACGAGGAGCTAGTGTCCATGGATTTCGTTCACAACGTGAACTCCTCCATCTACGACTCCAAGGCCACTTTGCAGAACAACTTGCCGGGCGAGAAGCGATTCTTCAAGGTCGTGTCCTGGTACGACAACGAATGGGGTTACTCCAACCGAGTTGTCGACCTGCTGATGCACATGATTGCAGCTTGAGTTTTGGGGTGTTCACGGGTGACACAATGTGGGCACGCCAGTGAGACACGCACACTTGTGCCTTGCAATTGCTTTTGTGGCATGTGTGCTGTCGAGCCATTTTCACCGCCACCGGGCTGAATCGAACTCTTGCGCCTCGGTGCGGTCCAAAAGCCCTTGTCCATAAGCTTTGCCAGAGGCAGGTGTTGCTGCAGCATGGCCAGTTAGCTCTGCAGTGTTTCTCGCAGAGACGTGCATCTCGTCTTACTCCGCTAATTTGTTGAGTTCTTCACCTCGATTCGAAGGCTTGGATAAGACTACGCATGCCTACAGAGGAGCAATCCGACACAGCAGCCCTTGGCTGGCGTTAAGTCTCTACCTCAAGTGTTCAACATTAGGTTGTATGCCACTTCGAGGACGATCGGGAAATGCGCATGCTAGTTTGAGGCTTAGGTGTTCACAATGCCTGTGCAGAAGATATCGGCTTCAGCTGGAGAAGCTGAACCCTCTGTAGCCTCACACAACTTCGTCTCCTCGCTACTAACTTTTCTTTGATACTGAGCACGATTTGGGAGTTTCCGAAAACTAGGGGTACCTCATTTTGGGGTCCTTATAATAAGGATCCTACTATTAAGGGTACTACTTTAGAGTCCCCTATTCTCGGAAACCTCCATTTGAGCCTGCAGCCTTAGAGCGAGCCGCACCTGTGGAGCTGGCTGTTTTCGGGTTTGGTACACAGCCGAAAAGGGGCACAGTGTGGCTGACTTTCGAGGGTTCTATAAAATCAAACCGCCCGTGATGTTCGGTTGCGAATGAGGAAGATGCTTTCCTGAAGTCTGATTCCACTAGTCCTATAGCCGCTGCAGCCCCATTGTTTCAGCCGCACCGTATTGCTGAAGCCCTGACAGATGTCAAGTAGCTCGTCGTCATGAACCGCGACCTCGTGGAAGTCCAGGAGTTTCCGAAGACAAGGGGCCTTTGTAGACCATGACATATACCGGCCTCCATTTGTTGAGAAACCTGACTACAGGGATCCTACTGTTTGCTCAATCATTAGGCCACTTTGTGCCCAGGTTGGAGTTTATCTGACCTCCACGGTGTGGCTTCTCTGTGGTGGGGCCTACCGAAGGCTGGCCAAGATGGTTGTCTGGTCAAATTCCCTCGTCATTTAAAAAATCAAGAGCTTAGACAATCGCCCAACACTCGATCCCAAGTCTGCCCAACCTTCAAGCAACGGTGCACAGTTTTCGAACACGGAGGCTGCTGTTTCCTTTCTTCCTGCGTCGAAAGAAGGACCATAAGCCTATGCAGGTGAGTTGATCGGGATTCATCTGAGAACGTCCATGCAAGTGCGCAGCCGCTAACCGAAAAGCACTGACAGGTACTTGCGACAGACGGTCGAGAAGTCCGTTCTTCGACCGGCGCTGCTACTGAGCCTAAAACCTTAAGGTACCAGGCTTTTGGGTTTCGGATCGGGGTTTTGGATGCGACCTGTTGAACCGGCATGTGTAATTGCAAGACTTTTGTCGGTGATTGCTGCGTGTTGAAACACACCGCTGCAGACAGACCGACAGACCTCCTAGCCTAACCCTCAACATGGTCGACAAGGGGTTGGGAGCCAGTTAGCCAGCGCATCCCAGCAGAGCGGAGCGCAGAAACTAGCTTTGGAGCAGTAGCTGTAGCTAGCGCCGCAGTAGGATGTGCGCTTGTCAGGAATGCCTGAGCCTTTGATAGCCGAGGCTTTCAGGTCTTCTATACGGCCTTGCTGTCGGGGACTCGTTTTGCAAGTTTTCGTGTCAGGGAGTCAGACAGAGGATGCCAGAGGTTCGCGAAGGAAGACTTCTCCTGCTGACTATAAAGTTACAATGGCACATACATTTACATGTGCGTGTGTGTGTGTGTGTATGTATGTATGTATGTATGTATGTATGTATGTATGTATGTATGTATGTGTGTGTGTGTGTGTTGTGTGTGTGTGTGTGTGTGTGTGTGTGTGTGTGTGTGTGTGTGTGTGTGTGTGTGTGTGTGTGTGTGTGTGTGTGTGTGTGTGTGTGTGTGTGTGTGTGTGTGTGTGTGTGTGTGTGTGTGTGTGGGGGTGGGTGTGTGTGTGTGTGTGTGTGTGTGTGTGTGTGTGTGTGTGTGTGTGTGTGTGTGTGTGTGTGTGTGTGTGTGTGTGTGTGTGTGTGTGTGTGTGTGTGTGTGTGTGTGTGTGTGTGTGTGTGTGTGTGTGTGTGCGTGTGTGTGTGTGATGTGTGTGTATGTGTGTTGTGTGTGTACAGTGTGTGTAGTAAACACAGTATGTAGTATGTGTATGTATGTAATGTGTATGTATATATATATATATATGTACATACATACATACATACATACATAATTACCTGCATACATACGTATCCATCTGTACATCCGTATATGTATGTTTCGAGTAGGAAGGGCTTTGGTTGGACACTGTCAGAAATCGCCAGCTCGTCTGGAGGTTCTATGCTTCCTGTACAGCATGACTGCCTGGCCCCGAGTGTGTTGAAGCTGCTGCCTAACGTGCTGGTCTGAGTGAGCCTGGAAAACAGTTGCTCTAGCCGGTTTTTAAACTGAGCAGTGGGAGGGCAAGGGTAAGGTGAAGACCAGCAGGCAGACGATGGTCATGATGATGATAACTATGACGATCCTGAAACCCCTACAGTCTTCGTTGCAGAATGTGCAGAAGGCGTCAGCTCCTGAATCCTGAAGTCGTTCAGTCCTGCTCCAAGGTGCTACCCTTTGCCATTGGCTATGCGCTGGGCTGCGGGGGTGCTTTAGCTGCCCCTGCGGCGGCACGTTTTGCTGAAATCTAGACTTGCTGGCTCGGTTTACGCGGTCAATCTGTGACTCGTCATTCGCGAATACATTAAGGTAACGTTAGTATAAGTGACCCCACGAACTGTGATTTGGATTTCAAGCATGGCTTCTGGGCGAGGCCGAACTACTTGTTGGATCCCGTATCTTTGTGAAGATTCTCGCTTGAAGCTACAGGTCTCATCGGTGTTGCGGCTAGATATCCGGTACTTTATTTCATCGCAATGCAGACAATTGATTAACAACCCCCCTTCACAAAGGCCCTTGATATGCTGATTCTTATTCCTGTGATGTGACAGGTCGTGGAGTGTGTAACAGTGTTTACATGGCTTTGCTTTGTCGTTCTGCTTGAAGCCTGAACTGTGACAGCGCAGTAAAACTGTGGCAATTCCGAAAACCGTTACCCGAAAGTTGGTGCTAGTGACCCGCGCACAGGGTCAACGAGACAAGGCCCCGAAGCTGAAGCCCTGAACCCTGGGACCCTCATACCAACCCTTAACAGAACCCATACAGTTCGCGACACCGAGCTAGAGCGCTCCGTACAACCAAACCCAGAAGCTTGAACTTCTTCACCAGAATTCTCGGCATTGGGGTTATAGGATTTTGGTTTGGGGACTTAAGCTTTCGCAGCTTCTGGCCTGTCAAGCCGTACAGCCCAAAATGCAGTGCGAACTCTGCTGGCCTCTATATAGACTTACTGTCACCTTTGTTAGTCTTGCTATTGCTGAGGTTAGCTTGCTTTGGGGCGTGCTGGCCTTCGGCGAGGTCCCATCTTGCAGTGGGGTCTAAGGGCGGTAGCTCGTTGCTTGGTCGGCATGAGCTTGTTTGGGTTACCAGGTACCACTAAGCCAGGGCATGTTTGTCAACGAATTTAGACTTTAGACCCTTGAGTAAGCTGAGTAACCCGAAAAAGAGCCGCTATTCTCAGGTTAAAACCCTGAACCCCAAATCTCGAAGACGATCCAAAGTGTGAAGGCGGCCAGCATGCACAACCGCCGGTGTATCCTGCCCCTCGGCCATCCTTTGGCCCCGGTGCCCAAACTCGCAGCTCCCATATTGAGCTACCGTAGCAGCACTGTATGGTATAAATTTCCTTCAGGAGAGTTTTGCTTAGTCAGGGTATGTGGGAAGACGTGGGTTGTGTGCCGATCTGCAAGTGACCTGCGGGATGTTCAGTGGATCGTGTGCCTGGGCTTCGGAAATCGATTCCGGCTGGCTTGGCTTGGGGCTTGCCATATTCGTAGGCCAAAAAAATGTCGTATAGCTGGATGACGGACAGAACTCAGGTGCTCCTTCTGCGGGGTCTTCACGGGAATCGTCCTTTTGGGCGCTGCAGCCTAGGAAGACCTGCTGCCGTCGAGGCTCTGGCACTGTAGCAGGGTGATTTTGATCGCTCTATTTGCTGCTACCGCCGTGGTGGGCTTCGTTTGTCTTTAGTCGCAAAACTTAGGCTATCCTCAGCGTAGCGAACAGTCTCCAGGTGTGAAAGCTACAGAGAAGCCGCCCGAGGAGAAGCCATAATCCATGTACGCCTGCCAGGACAGGATGCAAGCTGGCAGAACAAGCTTCCGCGAGGCAGCTCCAGTGATGACCTCAAGTTCTCGGTTTCTATCGCTTCTAATAAGATTAGCCGTTGTGGACTGCTTCCTTCGCTCTTGGCTGCAGGCCTCGTCGGAGCATTGAGACCGCGGGACGTGTGCCTGCACTCCTGCTGTCTTGTCTGGGGACTTCCCGGCCCGAAAACCTTGCCATCTGAGCAGGTCAGGTCTTTGGGGGAAAAGAGTGAAAGAGTTGTCAACACCAAGCCCCGATACCCCAAATCCCACTCACCCACGCATCGAGAATCCCAGTAGAGCCAAAGTCCGGCCGAAGGTCCCTGGAACTGTCATCCTCTTTGGCTTTCCCAGGAAGTGATCAGAGTTAAGATTCCTTTCAAAACATCAAGCGCAGGCCCGGATTCCCTACCTTGTCCGCCTTTTGCGTCGCCCGGGAAAGTCAAAGCCGCGGCAGTGCGAGAAGCATCTTTTAACCCTGGAGTGCTTCAGGTTCAGGTCGCTCCGTCATACTTGGAGGATCATGGGACTTAGTAAGTAAGCTTATAAGTACCTTAACTGGGGTTATCAGTAGTTAGAAGTATAGCTACCCTAATTATAACCCCAGACACTAAGTTACTAAGTTCCATGATCCTTTTAGTAGGTATGATTCCAGAACATCTACCGGGCCTTTTGCATGACGTGTAGCTCGCGTAGGATAGTTTGGAGCCTTTGTTCAGTCACAATGCCCGTACAGTACAACTGGTCTTTAGAGAAAGAAGCACCCCTCCCATCTTGTTGTCTTCCTCGGCAGCCAGCACCAAGAAATCACTCCATCCGTCTCACTTTGCTTGTCTGCAGCCGCCAGCGGATGATCGTTTGCGAGGTCAGGTCGGAAAAAGGCATGTCCCACTCCAGTAGTTTCCCAGGAATTAGCAGCAGCAGAGGCAGCCTCAACATGCAAGTGCCAACGACGAAGACCATATAACTTGACAACAAAACAGGGTCGACAATTCACGGTTAGACAAACAAGTAGCAACAGCAGCAGCCACACTGAATCTCTTTGCCCCATCCCCAGCTTCAGTACGACCAAATCTGCATTGTTCAATAAAATGACACCCGATATGGCTTGAAATCACAGTGCACGGCGTAACTTGGAACCTGATGGTAGCCTAATCATAGAATCGTAACCACACTTACAGCCAGCCCGGCCCTCAAGAGCTATGTAAGCCCCCGGGGATCCCTGAAGATCGATCCTGAGCTCTTTGCTCCCGAAGCTTTGCTTCTGCCTCGCTGTCGTCCTCGCAGCTTCGTTGGTAAAGCGAAATCATCGCAGGTCTCGAAGGGTGTGGATCAGTCACTGCGCCCTGAAGGCCCGGAATCTCATGAAACTGTCGATGCCAGGGATTTGAGCAACAGCAGCATCCAAAACGATGGCTGCTGACGTCCGGCTGGATGCAGTTGGCACAAGGAGGAAGGGCATGCAAGGCACGAGCCCTGGTGCCTGCAGCATGGTTTGGAGTTTGCTGTTAGGGTTTGTGCTCAGTGCACGTGGCTATCATGGAGGCATGCACTGCAGAGTGGCGCGCCATTTAACCAGAGCATACCCATGCAAGTCTATAGACGGACGGAGGACGAGCTTTTTGCTCGGGTTAGGCCCAGGTGCCCCAAGAGAAAAGCCGAGTTAAAGTATGGCGATGAACGTCACCAGAATTCAACTGTACGAGATGTTTTCAGTGCTTCGGTACGCGGAGGGCCCTTGGGTCAGGCTCGTTTAGTCCTGGAGAGAGGCAGTTTGCAACCATTGAGGTAAAGTGGAAGAAGCCAGAAACTCGAAAACATGTTGGGTGGGTTCCGGTTCTTAGATCCTTTGGGGCGAGAGTTCGCACAGTGGCAGATGAAGATCGACCTATGCTGCTACCTGCTACTCACAGGGGCCAGTTGCCACCGTCACATAACCGATCATGCATGTTCCAGCTCTTAATATGGGGGCGTAAATAATTACCAATACTGTTCCTTATGCGAGTTATGGTATAATGGGCTCCAAAACCCTGTTCTAACTATTACGGCACCCATACTAGCCTCTTCTGGGAGCCTTCCAGCGAATTCACGCCAGCTACGGGCAGACTCTGCGCAAAGCCACCTTAAACCCAAACCCTAAAACCGGAGTTCTCAGTTCAGGATTCGGTCAACCATACAGCAAAACAGCCTCCCAGGACCGCGACCAGAGGCAAGCAGATCTTTGCACAAGAACTTCTACTAATGACCCACCCAGTCCCGGTCAAAAGGGCCTTGCACGCACACATGGTAACAAAAGCAGAGGTCCTCATTCTTCTGGTTTTTCAAAGATGGCAAAGTGCCAAGCAGACCTCCATTTCAGAAACCAGCTGTAACCCTAGCCGCACGAGTCACGAGCCCTAATCTCCAGAATCTCCAAACCTCTCGAAAGCATCGAGAGCTGAAGCAGCCTTCCATGGCGGATGACGCGCTGAAGCGGCTGGAGACGCTGCTGCAGACGGGCCTTCAGGAGCTCAGTAGGTTGAGGATGGAATAGTGCAAAGTATCTAGTATAGTGCTGTATATTTTAGTATAATTATACTTAATACATGGTCATGTCAAGTCTGTAATATTATATGGTACCCATTGCTAGGAAGCAATGCTGACTTAGTAAGCCTGGCTTTCCCCTTCTAATCCCTGTGATAATCGTACTGGAAAGTGCTGAACCCTGCCCGGACTCAGGTGAGTACTCTAGATTACTGTGTTGCCGACCAATAACCTCGTCTGGATTGTCCGAGTTGCGAGAGCGTAAATCTAAATGCTTCACCCGGCAGAGAGATCCTGCGCCAAGAAGGAGGCAAGCAGCTTTTTAGCTGTCTTGCACCGCAGGTTTCAGTTGAAGCTCGTCTCGTGGTGCTTCGTCTCCATGGTCCTGAATCTAACTGCCACTGTTCCAGCGCCGACTGGGACCTGCTGACACCACACACAAGCAGCCGCGCTTGACAGCTGATGTTCTCGGCTCGCAAGCAGGAGCTGTCAACAACCTTTGAGCACCTTGGTCTTGGCAGGAGCGGCATTGCATGAATCCGAGTCAGAAGCTAGCAGCTCCAATCATCCAGCAATCTTCCATTCAGGAACATGGCACGTGTGCGCAGTTGTGTTGAGAAGCTTGCCGTCATTGTGATCAAGTGCCCTTGGCGGTGCTAATATCTACTCATCTACTCCTGTCGTAGACATGTCCAGCCAGTCGGGCAAAGGTTCTACCAAGGATGTGATGTGCAAAAGAATGCATTCCCTGGCCCTGCCATATGAATCGCGACCTTTCCCCTCAAGCCCTAAATCCTGAACAATAAGGTTGAAGCCTCAGAAGAGGGAGAAACCTAATACAGACGCAAGATAGTAGGATCCACACTGTCATGATCCCTAAATACATGAGGGTATCTCGATTTCTCGGAATCCTCGAGTTGCATCAACCCAGGTCGCGCTGGCTCAATGAAGACGGCGATTTGTCAAACCTCCTCGCGCTGCTGGACATAATGATGATGGGAGTCTTTTGGAATGTATAATAAGCGGCGTGAGTAGTCTTACTCAGTCGAAGAGCGGCTACAGCTGTGGACCCCTCATCTCCCTCAGTTCTTCCGCGAGGTTGCATTCAAAGACAACAAAGACTCTGAAGTTTTGACTTCTAGAAGCAAGTGGTAGGTGGCGCGAGGCAACTGCAGTCGCACTTCGAAGAGTGTGTGGCTTCCGCAGAAAGATGGGGGGGCTGCCGGTTTTTTGGCCAAGCAATTTACGTAGACTGGCTAGACTTGAGTCCAGTGGCCAAAGGTTTAAGACTCAGTGTCAATGCGTTGCTTATGTCCTGCTGCAAGTACGGAACAGGAGTATTCATAAAGTTACGCATCTTCATCGTTAACATTACTATCGGTATAAGTATTCATAGTAATCTGTTGCTATGAGTTTTAATTTATCAATATGAGTGTTGTTCTTACTACTATTGATAGTAATATTACTGTTAGTATTCTCTTTTTTGAGTGGACCAGCCTGGCGAAACTTGGCTCGTGGAGGCCCTGGGAGTCGCCTGGGACGCTGGCAGACTTGGACGAGATCCGACGCATCTCTGCTCAACCCATAATACACACATACACACATACATACATACATACATATATATATATATATATATATATACAAATGAGTATGTGTATACATATATATATATATATATCTGTGTTTTTATGTAGTTATGTAGTTATATACATATAACTACATAATGTTTTAATGTTAGGGTTTGGATGAGTTTGGGCATAACGGTTTAGGATTGAAGGGTGTAGGATCTGCAGGTTATTGAAGATTCTTTTCGGACGGTTTGGATTGGATGATTTAATTTGGGTTGACATTGAGGGATGCTGAGAGTGTAAGTCGCCTTAAAGCTTTTTCAGGCTTTAGGATGTCGGGCGAATGTTGCGCCTCGAGAGTCGAACCCTTCATGTCTGCACCAGTCTGGCTGCACTCCAGGGATCTTTCGGGTCTATTGGGCGGAGATGAGTATGTTAGTATCGTCCCTCACTAGACGGTTAGAGGTCCAAACGCTGGCGAAACGAAGAACACTTGTTATATGTCCATGCTTGCAGGTTACGGCGAAGGAGATCTGATAGACGAGATGGCCGAGGACCGCGGGCTCATCAGAATTCCTGCATGAGATCCTCGCTGTCTAGTCCGGAAAATCCTGCTGCAGGTACTTCAAGTCAATAGTATTGTACGACTACCTTTCGTACGAACAGTTGTGACAAGTAGCTTCATAATGGTAGC